GAGATTATTAATATATTATAAGTTCTAATATATTAATAATATTATTTGATTAGTTTGATCAAGAATTAATTTAGAATTAATTAAGTGATCAAAAGATAACTAATTAAATATATGGGTTGATTAAGTAAATCATCCATATCTTGTATAGTGGGCTAAAAGGCTCCATGGATCATCAAGTTGGGTTCCACCCATAGGATGCTCCATGGATGCTCCATGGGAGTTACAAACCCATGGGTCATGGAAATGAAGAGTCATGACACATTAGGGTTTAACCCTAGATGTGTCAACACTATATAAGTAATATGATCTCCTCCCAAATCGGTTACACTAAGTAATAGAGGGCTTGGCCGATTTTTGAAGAGTGTGTATTCTCTCATAAGTTCTTCCAAGAGCATTTGGTGTTGTGTGAAGCATTTGAGGCATCACCACTTGGGGTGCTAGGCTCACAAGGTTTCAAGGAACACAAGCAACAACAAGGTAAGTTATTCTATCTATACTTTATGTTTAAATTGTTCCCCATGTATGCTAGATAGGAATATAACCTTGGAAATCAACTTTGCATGACAAATTAGACAAACATAGATCCAAGGTTATTAGGGTTGCATGTACACTTAGGAAGTGTTAGAATGCTAAAATCCCATCACTTACACCTTCGAGCTTAGAACACCAAAACCTTATGGTATGGAGAGTAAACATGAGTTTATGGCCCAAGAACACTCTTGGACCGTAAACCCCCTCTTCAAGGGTCGTGAACACCTTTTAAGGTGTAAGAAATGCCCTTAAACACCTCCTATGGCCTTGGAAAATGTATAGAAGCAACCACCATTGAAGTAAAGGCATTAAACATCAATTAAACCAAGGAAATAGGAGTTTATGGCCGTGAACCGCCCTAGGATTGGTCCATGGGTCGTAAACTCCCAAAAGGTGGCCAAATGATGCCTTAACACCCCCATTTGACTTGGAATAATGCTTAGAGCTTTATTTCCTACCATTTAAGACCCTAATACACCAAAGGAATGTGCATCTAGGAGCTTACGGTCGTAAAATCCTTGTTTAGGGCCGTAAACTTCTCAAATGGTCCTTTAAGAGCCTTAAACCCCTTCATATGCATTATATTGGGACCTAGCCTATTTCTATGAGTGAGATAAGACCATTTAGCATCCTAGAACACCCCCACCATGAGTTTACGGCCGTAAAATCATGGGGAGTTGGTCTTAGGGTCGTGAACTCTATAAAGAGTTTACTCTTAAATAGTAAACTCCCTATCTAGGCCATACATACCCATAGATGTTACCCGGGACACCCATAACACTTAATCAAAGTGTTTTCCGCACTTTAGGATGCGTATACATGTTTAATTAGTATTATATTTAGTAATTGTATGTAAACATATGTCATTATATGTTAATAGGTCACTAAGTGTGTTCAAGTCTTTACTTGACACCGAACGCCCAACCAACACCTTCGTTCGATCCACTTACAACAGGTGAGTTCATACCCCTGAATTAACCTTTTAAATGTTTTTGCATGCTTTTAGGGGGGAATAGAAGTTAAACATGCCAGTTATCATATCAATCACATGTGATTGATAACCCGCATGCATAAGGATTTATCACACTGTCAACTGTTTTACCGAGTATGATACTGCAAATGGTTTTCCAAAATATCTTTACTTGTTCAAAGCTTTTCTCAAATTCTTTCCCACGCTATATGTTTACTTCAGATCCTATTATAATAGTATTTTAAACAAAGGATTTCTCTACCCAAAATGTTTTATCGAAGTTTCATTCAAAACTTTTTTATGAAAGGTTTTCAAAGGATTTCTAAAGGTTTTTAAACTTATTCTATAAAAGAATAGCAAGTCGTGCTTTTCTTAAGTATAAAGGTTTTCTAAAGTTTTCACCAAAGTTTTCTTCCATGCTTTTATACTCCTACTTTGTTAGATATTACTGTTTAGTTATACTTCCACTTAGTTAATGCTCTCACTTAGTTAAATGCCACTACTTTGTTAACGCTTTTACTTCTTGATACACTTTTACTTCATAATACGCTCCTACTTATTTACGATCCTACTTCACGATACGCTCCTACTTCACGATACGCTCCTACTTCACGATACACTCCGACTTCACGATACGCTTCTACTTAGTTAAATGTATACCTGTGCTTGTATAACTTATATAAATAATGTTTAAAGGACTTAGGAAGGCTAGTTCACCCTATTTCCTTTTCTTCATTGAGATGTGGTCTGGTGGGATCGGATATCCGTTCGAAGGTCGTTTGATCATTAGTTATACATTATGTATACAAGCATAGACATATAGGTTTACATCAGTCAGTTTAGTTGTGAGTCTTTATCATTAGTCCAATATTTTACATCAGATCTCACTATACGAGATGCATCTTCAGGACATGGCCTTCTCCGTTGTCTAGTTGGTAACCAGAGTCTCCTGTAGGGAGAGAGGGCATTTGTGTGTATAGATCTATACGGGATTGACACCCCTACACCCCGACTGCTAGCTACAGTCCACGACCCACCAAGCCAAGGGGTGACAAATGTCACATTCTTTCGACGCTTGCAGGGCGTCAAGTTCTCTAGTGTCTATCAGTATGGTTACGAGTATCTCGGGGTTACCTTATAATTCATGGCCTTAAGGTAACAGGTTTTAACACTGTATTCACTGTTTTTAGACCTTGCTAGACGTATCATTCATTTGATACTGTATGGGGTCTGTATTCACTGTTTTTAGACCTTGCTAGACGTATCATCCATTTGATACAGTCTGGGGTCTGGGTCTCTTTTCGTTAGACTGAGCCAGGCGTGTTGTTCATTCGATACTCTCCTGGAGTCTATGATTTCTTTTGCCTCAGTCAGCAGTATTTCCTGTTGAGGCCTATGTTATTTTCCCTAATACTTTTACTTGTAATATCCTCCTACTTTCTTTAAAGTCAAATACCGTATTTTGATAAGGATAATATTTTAGGGAAATTCATCTTTAAAACATAACACTATCGGGTCATGGTGGAAGACTACTTTTAATTAGAAAACATAGGATTTTATGGAAAGGACTCTAACACACCGTTGATTCTAAACTACTACTTATATAAAGTTATTTGAATAAAATGACACTAAATACTTATGAACTCACCAACATTTATAAAAATGCTGATACTCGCTTTCAAATAACTTGTATTCTCAGGTCAGCTTTAGACAGGTACATCTCAGGCGCTTTTGGTGAAAACCGTTTAGTACCAAGCTGGATCTACATTATTACTTGTATTACTTTGACGATTCTGATCAATGCAAACTGATGTAAAACTATTACTTTTAATGCAATGATTGTTGTGCTTTGATTACTATACTGCATATGTTGTGATACTTGACATAACGTCATCCACCCCAGAACGTTTCTGCTGTTCCGGTTTTGGGGTGTGACATTAGGGCATGTCAACTCGATCTATCTAACGTGGTTGCTGATTTGAAGAATCATGTAACATTGCAAGCATCGTATGTCAACATTGTTTTGGGAAAAACCAAGTGGAAGAAAGTGAAATGGGTCTTTGGGGTTACTGTTGTTGCTATTGTGGGGGTGTTAACCTACACGTTTTTTAAATGACAGAAGAAGTTTAGGTTAAACATTTCATTCTTGGGTTTCAATTTTGTTTTGATGTTTATCTTGTGTATAGTTCCTTATTAGTAAAGGGTTTTGTTGGTTGTCTTTTGGTTTCTGGTTGTAGTATTTGGTGGTTTTGTGATCATGATGTTGGGATTATCAGTATTTTGATGGTACTCACATGTGATGGGTCTTGTATGTACTTAGATAGATGTGGAAATCCTGCTTTAACTTGTTTAATATATGTAAAGATGCTGAAACCCATGAATGAAATGTTGATAAAGTGAAGTTGTTCTTGTTATAAATGTAAATGTGTATGTGTCGTGAAGTAGTAGCCATTTTTTTGTTTATTTTGTTCCTAGGACCACATGAAACAATCAAACTTTTTATACCATTAAAACATGAACCCTAATTTTTGTGTGTGGGGACATGGGACAACATAGAAGAATCTAATTTCAAGATTTTTCGTTGCCTATAACCTACAAATGGAAAACAATGAAAAGTGTTATTTTGTTGTGTCTATGATTGCCCACTTTGGATAATTGTATAGAAGAAATGAAATACCCTTAATGGGTTTTGTAAAATAATAAAGTTATGGCTGTAATACACCTAGTGGGTTAAGTCATATAAGAAATATTACCTCTATACCCCTGATGGGTTTAGTAGAATAAAAAATAATGACAAAATTACCCCTAGTTCTTTAACTAATTAAAATGAATGTAATACACCTTAGGGTACTATATGTAATTTAACATCTTTGGTTGACTAAAATACCCCTACTTAAATAATTACTTGAAACAACATACACGTATTGTATTAACTCATTCTAATGACTATATTACCCCTAAACTAACATTCACATGCCCTTTTTAACTAATTAAAATGAGACTAATACACACTTGGAGGGATTTCATGTAATTTAACTTCTTTGATTGACTAAAATACTCCTACTTTAATAATTACTTGAAACAACATACACATATTGTATTAACTCATTCTAATGGCTATATTACCCTTAGACTAACCTTCACATGCCTTTTTAACTAATTAAAATGATACTAATACACCTAGGGAGATTGTATGTAATTTAACTTCTTTGATTGACTAAAATACCCCTACTTTAATAATTACTTGAAATAACATACACTTATGGATTAACTTATTCAAATGACTAAATTACTCCTAAAGTAACATTCACATGCCCTCTTGAAAAAATTTTAATGACTAAATTACCTCTTACACACTAATATAAATAGGACCATACATATTATAAATAGAAACACGCATCCATATATCAAATGTTAAGATTGTTATAACATACATCAACATAGCAAACATAAATTCCCTTGTTCAATCCACATAACAGACATACAATTAGAACTGTAGTTAATCTAACTCCATTGGTGATCCTACAGTACTACCTTCACCTTCAACTCTTTTAGCAAGCTTTAGTTTAAGAATTCTCTCTAACTTTTTCCTCTTGCTTGGTTGACCCGTAGTATTCACTTGCCTAACAATTTGGTTAACCCTGCCTAGTTCCTCAGCTTCATTAACCGTCACCACTTGCTTAGATTTATTTACCGTCACCACCTGCTCAGATTCGTTTACCCTCATAACTTCATCAGTTTGTGGCTCAAATGCATTACCATAATAACATCTTTTCCACCCATTTCATATTCACTGATTCTTGTGTTTGCATGATCCTTTGTTTCTTTGTGACATTAGTTTTAGTAGGCCTTGGCACTTGAGTGCAAGTGGTCTTATTGTGCCCTTTCTCTTTGCATATTCCACAAGAAATATTTTTCCCTGCCTTTGAAATAATGTGTTCTCTAGACCTTTGAGAGGCATCCCTTATTCTTTTGACTGTTGGCTTGCCTGTCATTCTTCTTTTTAAAGGAGGAAATTGAAGTGTAAGGTTTTTTGAAGGTCACATGTGTTTGGTTTTGAGCACGATAACATACCTGTGGTGCACATACAACCCTAATGCTTTAGATATAAGTTTTCTCTACTTATACATGCAATTTTCATTTTTCCAAAGCATGAATCCTAACTAGTATACAACTTGATATTTGAATCATAAAAAACTAGTTAAATGATTACCTTTTGTTGTAGCTTGTAGAACTTGGCCTTTCAAGAGCTAAGCACCTCAAGTGTGATGCCTTTAATAAGTTACAAACACCACCAACAATTGGATGACAATGAGAGAGGCTTAGCATGCACCAAAATCGGCTACACTCTTCTTAGAATCCCTTGTGTACCAATTTTAGGCTATAAGTGTTACATATATAGTGTAGAATTCTAAGAGTCACTTGTAAATCCTAATTCATACACATAGGCTTATGATCCAACAATTGATTTGGACTAAAACTTCATGGACTATCTCATAAGCTTAGTCCATCACAAATCAATCATGGATGATTAGCCTAAACCATATGTATCACTGATTTACATAATTAGACCCCGTTAATTTAATCAGTCTCTTTTGATCACTAAATTAATTCCCAATTAATTCTTGATCAATACTAATTAAATAATATTATTACTCAATTAATATATTATACTTATAATATATGAATAAATCCCAAATAACCTCTTTCCCAAATTTCCATCCTATCAGATTGTTCTGGTGAAGGCAACCCGAAAGGACCCCGCTACTCTCTGGTCAAGTAAATACCTATTATAGTTATGGGCTTAAACACCTAATCCAATAGTCTCCCACTTGGATAAGTCTAATAACTATAACTGTAAGTAATAACCAATTAGCAATCGTAGCTCTCAAAAGTCGATGTCAAAATCTGACGCATCTTTTAGATAAGGGATTATATAATCCTTTGTTCTACAAGATATTGTTGGATAAGGTGTCTAAGTCCATAACTATTTCTGGTATGTACTTGACCCGACCCGACATGGTCCATTTGGGTTGCATGGCACCATGCAATTGGATAGACTAAATGAGAGAAATAACACTTGGAGATTATTAATATATTATAAGTTCTAATATATTAATAATATTATTTGATTAGTTTGATCAAGAATTAATTTAGAATTAATTAAGTGATCAAAAGATAACTAATTAAATATATGGGTTGATTATGTAAATCATCCATATCTTGTATAGTGGGCTAAAAGGCTCCATGGACTATCAAGTTGGGTTCCACCATAGGATGCTCCATGGATGCTCCATGGGAGTTACAAACCCATGGGTCATGGAAATGAAGAGTCATGACACATTAGGGTTTAACCCTAGATGTGTCAACACTATATAAGAAACATGTTCTCCACCTAAAATCGGCTACACTAAGAAATAAGAGGGCTTGGCCGATTTTGAGAAGTGTGTATACTCTCATAAGTTCTTCCAAGAGCATTTGGTGTTGTGTGAAGCATTTGAGGCATCACACTTGGGGTGCTAGGCTCACAAGGTTTCAAGGAACACAAACAACAACAAGGTAAGTTATTCTATCTATACTTTAAGTTAAAATTGTTCCCCATGTATGCTAGATAGGAATATAACCTTGGAATTCAACTTTGCATGACAATTAGACAAACATAGATCCAAGGTTATTAGGGTTGCATGTACACTTAGGAAGTGTTAGAATGCTCAAAACCCATCAGTGGTATCAGAGCCTAGGTTTGTTTGCTCTTATTTGTGCTTAAAAGTTGAAAACAGAATCGGAAATCTTGCTGTCTGCGAATGGACTCGTCGAGTCTATAGGGGGGACTCATCGAGTTCATGAGTATCTTCAACCAACTCGGCGAGTCAGTTCATGCACTCGGCGAGTAGGGTCGACTGATTGCAGAATTTCGATTCAGTTGCTGGAAATGAATTAGAAACATTACCCTAAACTGTTTTGGTAATTGAAAACTTGTTTTTGGTGGTGTAATGTCTTTGCTAATTCATTTACAACAACTAGTTATCAAAATTACAAAGTTTTAAATGTAATTTTTGATTGTGTTCATATTCATGTTCTTGTTCTTATGATGTTTTAGATGATCATAGGAATTATTTGTAACCTATGTGGTAGATTAATTCTTGATCATAATGTGTTTTAATGGAGTCCATAACTTATCCTTAAGTTATGGAAAACCAAGAGTCACACTTGAGTTAAAACCATTAAAACAAACACAAGAGTTAGAAAAATGAAGAGTCTTCATTTTATTACTCTATTAAACTCATAAGTTACAAGAAATGAAAAGTTTTGAAAGTTACAAAACTTGCCCTCAAGTTTTGGAACAAGTAAAGTTAAGTTAAAACTTTAAGTTCCAACCCCTAGAATTTTAAAAGTTAAAATTCAACCCTTATACTTATATTATGATGACTTAATAATTATATATATATGTATAAAAATAAATTCGTCTTACCGCTAGTACGCCTCATTCACAAAGCCGGTCTATAAGGTGGGTATAAGGTTGTTGCCTATAAAATGGTGACTTAATGGGTGTATATTCTCACCCACCGCTTGCTTGACTGGTGGAGGGTCGTTAGCCGAACGGGTAAGACAAGGACTTATAAATTCTCATTCAAAGTATGATGAATATAATAAAGTAACTAAATGTTTATTAAATTCCCAATCTTAGTTACTTTAGGAAAATGTGAATAAGGTGCTAATCCATGAAATTACACTTTACACTTTGTCTAAGTCGTTGGTGGAGCGTGTGTGGTTAACCGGCACACTAACTTGGACTTAACAAGGTAGGTAAAGGGTGACTTAAGGTTTATTATAGTATCGGTGGAGCGTGTGTGGTTTACCGGCACATCGATTGAGTGATAAACTTTAAGGGTACCAAGTGATTTGCATGGTTACTTCACACCTCGTTTTGTGATCCTCGGCATCCCAGTCACAAAACCTGGAGGGCACTCTCGAGATTGAAACATGCCTTTGAAAAGTTCATTGGATCTCAAAGAATCTAGGAATTTCTAAAACCAATAAAAACTAAATATCTAATATTTCGGTTTTCGTGGTGGAAATTGGTGAATCGTCATTCACCTACCTTTCAAATATGGTATAGCTTAGATTACGGCATACCTCTTCTAAGTTATATTATATTGTGATTGGATCCTAGCCTTAATATTACATTTGGGTGTTTTATTAAGGACTCTCTTAAATCTAAACTAAACTTGTTCTTCTCTTTCAGATGTCTTCAAATAATGCTTCTGGCTCGAATCCTAATGGCTCCTTTACTCTTATGAGTTTGTGTGGGAAAGTCACCTTTGATGGATCCAACTTCAATAAATGGATCAGAAACATCAGGATGATTACCCGCTACGAGGACAAAGAATATGTCCTTGACAAGGAGCTTAAGGAAATTGATGAGTCCACTGCAACTCCCCAGGAGATCGCTGACTTTCATACTCATGAAAGAGATGCAACCAAGGTGGCTTGCATCATGTTGGCCACCATGACAGCTGAACTCCAAAAGTCTTATGAAGATTTCTACCCTTATGAAATGCACCAAGATTTGATGGAAAGATACCATCAAAGTGCACGACAAGAGAGGTACGAAGTCATCTGCTCCATGATAACAACCATGATGAAGGACGGAGAGTCCGTCACGAGCCACATGCAGAAAATGCAAAGGTATGTGGATCGTTGCTGAAGCTCAATGTGAACTTCCCTGAGGAGCTTGCAATAGATATCATTTTGCACTCCTTACCATCGTGCTATGATCAATTCCGCATGACATATCACATGAACAAGGAAGAGGTCACCCTCAGCAAACTTCAGGGACTTCTCAAGACCGCAGAAACAGGTCTTAAGGGAAGTCGGTTGCTATCACTCCTACTCCAGACTCAACTCCGGTCTTGGCAATCGGGCAAAGTCGAGGGAGGAAGAGAAAGAGATCTTCGAAAGGGTACCAAGGCTCGGACCCTTGATGGCTCTTCTTCAAGTGGAACCAAGAAAGGTTTCATTACTCCTTCTTCTGACCCAAAAGAGGCTGAATGCTTCTATTGCCATGAAAAAGCTCATTGGAAGCGGAACTGCCCAAAGTACCAGCAGGATGTGAAGGATGGGAAAGTCAAACCCAACCATGCAGGTATTTACACTATCATTTCTAATAACTCACCCCATTCGAAATCTTGGGTCCTTGATACCGGTTGCGGTATTCATATTTGTTGTGACTTGCAGGGACTAGGAAGAAGTGAGAATGTGGAGCAAGGAAGAATAAACTTAATCATGGGGAATAGGAAAGTTACACCTGTCACCAAGATTGGAGTTTATACTTTATCGCTAAGTAGTGGGTTAAATTTAGATTTGAATAAATGTTGTTATTCGCCAGAAATGGCAAGAAATATTATTTCCTTTCATGCATTGTACAAACAAGGTTTCACCTTTTCGTTTGATAATGAAGTTGGTTCGATTAATGCTTTCTTTAATAATGTTCTTTATTTTAAAGCATTACCTTGTGATGGTGTGTATGAAGCTGTATCTGTTGTAGATAACTTAGGAAATAATGTTTTGTGTATTGATTCTACTAATAATAATAACTTGGATAAAGCATCATTATGGCATTGTCGTCTTGGACATATAAGCAAGAAACGCATAGGCCAACTCCAAAAGGATGGAGTCTTGGAGTCGTTTGACCTAAAGTCAAATGATAGTTGCGAATCATGCTTACTTGGAAAAATGACAAAGTCACCCTTCACAGGCTCGTGTGAAAGGGGTGAAGGTTTGTTGGACCTTATACACACGAATGTGTGTGGACCATTCAAACATGCCACAAGGGATGCTAATCGTTATTATTTGACTTTTACTGATGATTACAGTAGATATGGATATGTCTACTTAATCAAGCATAAGTCAGAGACTTTCGAGAAGTTTAAGGAATTTAAACAGGAAGTCGAGAATCAATTGGGCAGGAACATTAAGATGCTTCGATCCGATC